TTCCGACTCCAGTCAATTATATTAAATTGATCGATATTCCAGAAAAGGGTTATTTTGCAAGAGATCGTGTAGGCGAAATTTGTATTCGTAGCAAAGCTGTATTTACAGGATACCTTAAAGATGAAGCTAAAACGCGCGCAACAATTGATGATGCTGGTTGGCTTCGTACAGGCGATGTCGGTCGTTGGACAGAGGATAATATGATGCAAATCATCGATCGACATAAGAACATCTATAAAGTGAGTATTAAAAAATAAGTTTGATTACGTTGCATACGTTGACATTTTCTTTTTCATTTGACGATAGTTAAGTCAAGGAGAATTTATTGCTCCGGAGAAGATCGAAGGTATTTATGGGCGTAGTGAATTTATCTCACAAGTATATGTTTATGGTGATTCGTTTCAAAATTTTCCCGTTGCACTTGTTGTACTCGAAGATGAATATGTTAAGAAATGGGCTGCCGAAAATGGCAACGATTCCATACTTTTAGGTGCACCGGAAACCAACGAGGAATTGCGTAAAATCGTCTTGAAAGATATGATTGAAAATGGAAAGAAACGTGACTTGATGTCATTTGAACAAGTTAAAGCAATCGCCATCATTACAGAGCCATTTACAGTTGAAAATGGTCTTTTGACACCGACATTTAAAGCTCGACGATTTGCAGTCGAAAAAAAATACAAGCCGATATTTGATGAATTATATAAAACTATCAATGGTTAACTTGCGAATTCGTTGTTCGTTGTTATTCTTCACCTATTTTAAACGAACTCAATTGTCTTACTCCGACTAAAAAGACATGATTTCTCGGAGTACAAATAGTTGCTGTGATTGACGAACGTTGTGTGATTTACCAAAATATATCTAATTCAACTTTTGTTCTCTATCATTGTTACTTTCTTGATTTTTCTGATTTTATTTTAGAATTGTCCTGTTTTTTTCTTACTTCGAGCAATAATCCTGAAATTAGCCCTAATTTTTTTTTTGGACTGCTTCGTCCAAGGATATTCTTTTGAGATTATTATGGTGCATCGAATATTTCTACACGATCTTTTTCACAAATACGTATCTCAAATTAGCTATCAACTATTGCTTCACAGTGAAAGAGATGTGGCTATGATGAGTATTTCAACCGTATCAATATCTTTAAGTTTCTTATTGTTCGTGGCTGTCGATAGCTGTGAGTTTTTCTCTTCTAACATATTTGTGGTCTGATCCCATTCTTCTTCTGAATTTTCCTGCTTATCCAATAATCAAGACTCTTTTTCAGCCATTAATTTTTCATGTTCCATATCGTTAGTTTGTTTCAAATCAATCACAGCGATCTCCGTGACTAATTGTTGAAGTTAAACAGCTTCCATTTGTGAGCATTACAGATACACTAGTGGAAGTATCAAAGATTTTTTTATGTCGAAAATAACGTTCATCCGACTTTTATTTTGAGTCTATCAGGCATCTCACAAAGATTTTAAAATACTGTACCGATCTCATTCCATAAAAGATTTTATTCTTAATAAAACTATCGATTTTGGTTTTCGAAAAAGTTAACCACGTTGGCATAAAATTCAAAAGACACATTTCTATCAATTGTCGATCGGCTACTTTTATGATGATATTATACGACAACTGTGAGCATGCACTGATGAAGATTATTATTAAAAGTAAAAGTACAATACAACAAGATATAGAGAACTTACGTGCGGATGTGAGAGTAGACAATACTCAGATCTAGGCCCACACTCACAAGAAAAGTAGTAAGTCTATTTAATTTTTATAGTTTGACATACTCTCTTTCGTTCATACATCCCATGAAAGTTCAAAGACAGTTGAATTTATTCATATAAGAATGAAAGAAAACATCTAAAATCATCGAATGAGTAAAAATGAAAAGAAAGAAAACAACTTTGCCGGTCGCATCGAAAACACAGAAAGACGTGTCAGAAAATAATCCGTGATTCAGCTTCAAATCAAATAGGTTGCCCTTTCAACAAACAAACTAACTGTCACTACGACGTGTCTATTGGATCACTTTTGATTATGATGTTCTTACACCATTTGCTTTTCATATTAAGCTTAAACTATAGATTTAAACAGAATTTAAACAAAAAATATATTGATCATATCTAGAGACTGTGGATGTGGATTGATGACACACCTGCTGAGTATAACATACAATACGACTGATGCTGACATTTGTTTAACGTGAAGAGACAATCAATCTAACAATATAACTCATTTTTTTGTCTTAGACAATGATCAGACCACATTTCCAAAGGACTAAAAAAAGATTATGTCATCGTGCTGAACTTTTGCTTCAATATGATCATCAACTTTCGATTATATCAGTTCACATAAATGCTGGTTTTGATTGACTATGCCATAGAAAATAATTCGCTTAACTAATGAGCTTGATTAAAAATTCGAAAACAGTGAGTTGATAACTAAACGAAGTCGTTCAAAGCTAATATTTGTTACTTTTAGATGTTTTTTCGTTGTTTTTATAGCTGTAGATATCTTGTTCTAATCATGGATACTTCTGGGTACTTTGAAAAACACCTAGATAGTTCGAAGTGTTTAAAGACAATATTTCCCATTATAGAAACTCCCAAACGTTTTAGTACGACCATGATCAGCACAAAAACCTGTACATATATTCAAGTTTTCTATAGAATTAGTAGCCACTCTTATTTAAAAAAAAATGAAGATTTTCTACCAAGCCATGCCTTTTTATTCATTTATCAAGTCTTTTCCTCATAATTATGCTTCGAGAAAAAAAACTGGAACTATCTATTCACCACCACTTTGTTGTATTTGATGCCCATATCGGTTGATGATTGCCATCATATAGGACAAGATTTCGATCAATTTGCATAATAAGATGATGAGGCTTTACACCTTTTCCTGCTGTATGAGTACTCCATATTACTTTGTTGTTTACATCGCGGATGACCAAGTTACCATTATCTTGCATTATTAATCGAAATGGTTGTTGGCCTTTGTTAGTAGAATTAGAACTCCATTGGGCATTTACTGGACTAAAATCTCGTGATGTATAAACAACAAAATTACCATCACGTTGCATAATAGCATAATATGCATCATTTGTAGAACGCAAATATCCTTCTTGATA